TATAATGCTATAACATATGGAAAAGTGTATGGATCATTATAATTTTTTTATGAGAAATAATATTTATTTATAAATATTATTATTAGCCCTTAATATAGGTGGGGGTCAAAACTTAAAAATCCGTATAGAAAGTAGAACTTTTTCAACTTAATTTTTGAAAATATTCCGGAAATACTGACACTTTTATATATTAAAGCTTATGTATTATAATTTATTATGAAAAAAAAAAATTTTGGACTTATTATATTTTGTTTTCATGGTGAAAACAACCACAAAGTTAATAAAAAAATAAGATTTTTGTAAAAAAATTCTTTTTTATCTGTTTAATTTTATAATGCTATATTTTTTTGAAAAATATATGGATCAATACAATTTTTTTATGATAAATACTATTTATATACCTCTTTCATTCGACATAAATCATAAAACTTGTCATCAGGATATAAATAAGGAAATAAGAGATCATGTACCTTTTGGAATAATCCACCAATTTTTTAAAATTAAACATTAATTACAGATTTGCATCAAAGCGATTTTTTTGATAGTGATTTTAATTACTGTAATATATCATTATACTTGACTCAACTATGCCACGTCCCCACTGTGCTGGGTTTTTATGGTTTGTTTTTTTTCTTAAGTAATTTAAATATTTTATCAGGTATAATACTCAATATAGTGAAGTAAAATATAAATCTTTTTTTTTAATTTAAATATGATATATACACTCTGTCAATAAACACAATAAGCATATAGGATAAGTGTAGAAAAGAAATTAAATGAATAAAATTTTGAAGAAAGTAATTTTAGTTTTATTAGTGAAATAAAAAATTAGTCTATAAAAACTAGTTATGTTAATAAAAAAAAAGTTTTACAAAAATTTAATTGGTTTATTCTAAAAATTGTATATGAATAATAGGAAAAAAATATTACAGTACTCAAATAAATTCAAGACTTTCCTAATAACCCAATGAATACATTATTATAATAGTAAATTATTAGTATGCAATACAGTTTTTAGATTTTTTTTATTCTGAAATATTAATTTTCAATTTAGTAAAAAGTAATTAAAAATATTTGTGAGCATCTGATATATTATTTACTAATTAGTTTCATTATTATGCGTTTCAATGTCGCTCTGTAATTTTTTTATAAATAATTTAACTTGAAATATACAGGTGTTCAAAAAGTAAGGAAACGGGTTAATTTTTACAAACTTTGAGAACAATAGTAATCCGTTACCTTACTTACTGAACACTATATAACTAAATCATTATAATAGTATTTACTTAGTATCTTTTATGATTTAAACCATTTATGCTAATGTGCATAATGTTTATATTAAAATAAGTATTTAATTTAATTTAAAAAATTACCAACAACATGAATTTTTATTTTATAAAATTAGATTGTTACCATGTATTTTTGACATTTCAGACTCAATTCAAATATTAATGAAGAAACTATTTTATTCGGATTGGGTATAATATCTATTTGTTGACGTGTTTCATTTATATCATTAAGTGTTTGCTAGTAATTGATTTCATGCGTTCTTGAGATTATGATATTTCAGAGACTGCACAGTAGGATATCTACTTCTTTTTTACTTACTGCGTGTTTCTCTAATCAATTTGTGTTAAGTTCATGTGTTACTAGTTATCCCTTTGTAACCGAATACTACTTGTTTTATTATTGAGCCACAATAACGTCAAATTCGATTATAAATAATATTGAGTATTATACATTTTATATTGATTCCTATCAACTACACTCGTGTTGTTTTGCATACAGCATAATGATCTTTGCTTAATTATTTATTTTATTATTATCAACTTAAATTAGTGTGGTATTATATAATAATTAATTAATATTATTACTAATGAAATGAACAAAAGTTGTCAATACACATAGTATCGTGGATAAGGTGACAATGTGGAGCTTTACAATTTAAGAATATATATTTTGTAGGTCTTTTATTTCTAAATTACACGAAATAACAAATTAATTATTTTTTTAATATTCATAAAAAATTTTTTATCTGAGTTCAATATTTAATTAAATTTAACAAAAATATTTCAGAACTTCAAAATATTTTTAGTACTGTTAATATTAAATAAATATTAAAATATTTGTTCTATTTTACTCTTTAAGGTTGAATTAATTTAAGATCTATTTTTTTAAATTAGATTTAATCTAATTTAAAAACATTATTAAATTAGATTTTAATTAATAATTAACATTATTGCAGTTTTTCTTTTTTAAATAGATTTCTGACAAAAAAATACTACTAAAAATACCTTCTCAGATTTCGCATCGAAACAAAACGTGATCTAAATTTTTAATAGATAATGTTTATAGGTAAAAACTGACTGAAAAAGGTCGACTGTTAAAAATTAAATCACAAATATACGACAACGAATTCAATTAATTTTTTAAGGATTTTTCTTTTTTTTACTCAATAAAGAAGTAGTTATTTTTTGGCAATTTTTGCTTGATATGAAGCTGTGAAGGTATTGGTTTTACCATGTGTTTTTTTTTTTATATCTGGTTATAAAATTTTTCAATTTACATTAGATCATTTTGTTGGTCTGTGCGTTAAAACAACCCTATTTTAATTTAGTTGTATCTATAGTTGCCAAAAATTGATATAACCGTTAATTTTAAAAATGTAGTAAAATATTTGATGTGGTGTGCAGTATCGAAAATAAAATTTTATCTCGAAATTATTCTACTATAAAGAATTGTAGGTCAATGTAAAAAACTTTTATGAATAAATTACTTTTTTTCAATTTTTGAAAATGTTCTGAGATTTATAACAATCCAAAACCTTTATCAAATTAAAGTATTTTAAGAGAACTTTATAATGAATAAGGAGAAACGTCCTAACAACATTTTTCTATAAGATATTTGACTTTAAATTCGACTATTTTAACAAAAAAATTAATAGATTTACATCGAAGCGTTTGTATTAATTACTATTAGATATTATTTATACTTCCTACTATTCGCGTTCCCACTGTAATTTTCAGAAATTCTATACTTATTGTATAAATTTTGAAAACATTTATTTTGAAAATTTCGAAATCAAATTAGTTTACAATAACTATTTATTTTATTATGTATTATGTATTTTTAGCAGAACTTTAATATTTGATCAATCTTGTAATTTAACATATTTTAATTATTAAGTTTTTTTGAATGTTAATATCTATTTTGAGAAGAAATCGAAAATTTGTTTACTTTATATTCTCAATGTTATGTAAAAATATTTTTATATTAAATAAATATTTTGATTTTTAACAAAATTTATCAAAAATTATATATTTAAATCTGGAATTATTTTAAAAGTTTATGGTTAAAATAATTTCTTATATTTCTAAATTTTTTTGTCATTATTTAGACAGCAAAAGAAAGTATTATAAAGAGTAATTAAATTTTAACTACCTTATAAAATAATATGTTGACAGAACTATTTTATTTATTTTTTGTCAGAAGTATTAAAGTTGAGTTTAAGCATTTGGGATTGTATTAAGCTATCTACAAAATCACTTAATCAAAGCATAATTTTACTCAACAATGAACAATAGAATTTGAAGACAAACATTAGCTGTTTTGACAAAGTGATTGATTAGTTTTACATTATTACTTTGATTGAAAACACTAAAATCCGTATTGTTTTGATTATAATTAGATGTTTTGAGTTTATTGTTTTATGTATGTTTTTGAGGTTTCAGTATATTTTCAAAGAATGTTCCTTTTTTTTAATCTGAAACTTAATATTATTATATTACCAATGAAATGAATAGAATTTTTAAGAATTTTGGTATCACTTTAGTAATATCTAAGAGTTATAATTTAAGAGTTTTATTAGGTAACCCTATGAAAAAGTTGAAGATGGAGGAAAATCGAGAATTTGTGAAATACAATGTGAAAGTTGTAATAAATGTTATGCAGAGCAAAAAAAAGAAACGCAAAAATCAAGAAATTTTTAATTCTTCTGTAGCTGAACATTAATTGACACATAATTTATATATTAAAACCATAAAAATTATTAAAAACGTAAATAATTACAAAGAACTATATAAGGGAATATAATAATATAAGGGAGGCGGGAATAGAAATGTGTGAAAAATAAGAATAATTTAATTATTTGGAATATTATCCTACTGAAAAATTCATTTTTAAACTCCTGTAAATTTTACTTAGTGAAAACATCATTTCTAACATTGTTCCCTAAATACATTTCCGCGAATTTTTTTTTACTTTTTGAGTTAAATATTTTTAATTTTAAATAATATTAACCATGAGTGATAAATTTTATTATATCAATATTTGATCCTATTAAACTTATGTTTATACATTTATTGCAAATCATAAACTAATTAAAATATCTTGATAGCTATTAGTATCTATTTGTTATCTCTAACGTTAAATTAATTAACTATTAAAATCTCAATCTATTCTTATATGTAATTTTATAACATCTTGATAACATTGATAAATTTATACAATTTAAAATTATTTTAATATATATATATATTTATTTAGTTCATATTAGTTTAAACTTCACTACATAATAATTCTTAATTTTTTTGTATATATTTGCTCTTTGTAAAATTATCTATAGGGTTTTATTTTTTTAATTATTGATAAATTTTATATCCAGGTACTTATTTTGTATACAAGATATGCAACTTAATATTTTAACACTGCAGTGTTAAAACAATATAAACAGTGCATTGTTTATATTTGTATTTTTCTTAGCAAATAAAAACTGTTGAACTCAATGATTAATTTCGATATTATATTTTTTTAATGTTTTTTATGTCATTTAAGTTTCACCAGTTAAAATGTAAATACAAACATTTTATTGTCGGCAAATTATTTTGCCCCTTAAAACTATTACTGAAAGACAAATTATTATTAAATTAAATTTTATAAAATTTATGTCCCTTTAACCGATAATTTAATTAATAAAAAATAATTTTATTCTATGCTTACAGGTATTGGACAGATTATAAGTCTGCAAAAAATGTTGATCAAAAAGTGCAGCACGCCTTGTTTATGTTTGCTTGTACCAACTCGTGTATGAATCCAATTGTGTATGGTGCATTCAATATACGTACAAGGAGAACATTAGTGACGCAGGTGAGACCCACCAAGACCAATTCGGTGTCAACTGCATGTACCACTGATATATGTCTGCCTACGCTTTCGATATCTGTGCACAGAATGGAATAAATAGTTTCATTCATACCCTTCCTTGACTCGGATTTTGCATTTCACTTCTTTTCAGCTATATAATTTGCTTTCGATTAGTAACTTGGACTTATAACAACAAGTTAAATGTTATTATTATAATGATATAATTGAATTAATAAATTATTTATAGAATATATACTTTAACAATTACTTGCATATTAACTGGAGAATATTATTTGTTTTCATTAATGCTGTTGAATATTATAGTGGTTTAAAGACATTACATAAATATTTTATATATTTTTTACAAAGTTTGTACAAATATTTCTATTGCAAATTACACAATCTATATTGTCGATTTTCTCGGTTTTTTTAAATTAATTTCCAAGCTGCTAGATTTTATGCAATACACATCTGTTTGTATTTTACGTAATTAGTGTTTTGAATTTGTATTGATAAATTGTCACATTTGTTTAATTTTAAAACACATTTTTTTAACGGGAGCAAATAAAGTAGTGAAATACTATTGATTGTTGAAAATTTAAACTTAATACACAATTATATAATCATAGACGTTAAAAAAAATAATACAATTTTTTAAGCACAATTGTAAAATAAATAGAAAACTTACATTTAAATAAATTTATTACTTTTATTTTATGGAATAGTTTTTTCACTTTCATGACACCACATATACTTCAAGTATATTTTATTATTTGGGATTTATAAAATGTATTTATTTTTGAACAATAGCTAAACTTAGTTGGAGTGGTTTTTTGATGTTACAACTTTAGATGAGCAAACAAAAGCTTTTGGTATTATATGTTAACGCTTATAAACTAATTATTATATTTTTCTGATCAAGTAATTAAAATAATTTTTTTACAGTGTAAAAAAATATAACTATTTTTATAACAAAATTAAATAATAATAATGGTATAATGTTATTATTATTAGGGAACAAGCTCTAAAATTGTTACTGAATCCAGAGTTATGACATTTTGACATTCTGCAGAAAGAACAACGTTATGGTTTTTATGAATATGTATTTATCTTTTCGAGTGATTTAGTTATTATTACTAGAAATTCACATCATTAATCAATTTATTGTTTAGAAATAATTATGCAAGCTAATACAGTAATTTTATAACGCTATTTAATAATAAAAAAATGTACACACAAATAAATATTTTATTTATAACTACACGTTTAGTTTGTCTTAGCTGAACTCTAGGGTAATTTTTAAAAATTTTACACGAGTTCAGTATCATAATTACTTACCAGTAATTTTTTTTACCTAGTTAAAACACTAATCTTTTGTGCATTGATAAAAAATCTCAAATTTCGTACGTTTTATCGATTAAATGTGATTTATTGACTTTTTTTTATGGTAAAAAAGAGCTTTAGTATTTTATGTAAAATTTTACCTATAGTTTTTATAAGTACAAAAGTATAAGCTTCAGTTGGTCTAGCTATTGTTTAGAGTATGTTCTTAGTTTAATTTTACCATAAGCGACGTTAATAAATTTTATATAATGATTTAAGTATTTGTACATAAAGCATTGCATGTATGGTTATTTTATTTATACAGCTTGTAGTTATAATATTTAATTCATTCCTTTAACCTTATGTGATTTAATATTTTAACAAAAAAACTTGTGTGTAGTTTTTATTTTTTTATTTTGATTTTTAATGTCTAATCGTAGTTAAAAAAATTGTCTTTATTTGTTAAAATGCATGATTGATTTAATTATTAATTAGTGTATAACGCTTATATGTGTAATTTTACTGTGGTAGTTATGTGAAATAACTATAAAAATATTTAATATGTTTATTATTTAACTGTATAAAAATTAATTAAACAATAATTAATAACTTAATTTTTTGTTAGGAGTAAATATTTGAGATTTTTTATTATGAATGAATTATTGATGTAGTTTTTAAAAATCAAATTGACCAATCTATCAAATGATATCATATCTTGTTATCTTATACCAAACATTAAAAAATGTTAAATTTTTAATTTTAATAAAATAGCTTTCAATTTTGTCAATTTTTATTGTTTTTACTTATTCTCATAAAGTATTACCTAATTTTCATTTTATTTATGAAAATGACTTTCACTCGATGAAACATTTGATTTTCACTCTTTCATATTTTTCTATCGTCAACTTTTTACATAGGACACGAATCTAATAATATTTAGTTATTCTAAAGGTAGATCGCTATAATCCCTTTAATCAAAAAAAGGCGAAATCTTTAAAAAAAAACGTCTAGTAAGGAAAAAGCCGACATTTACAACATAATAAAAAAAGTAGTGTACCTAAGGAGATTTAATATTCTTTCCTGTGAATTTGATATAAAATATGTAATATAAAAATCATTTTTACAATGTAAGTTATGGTGTAGAAAAAAAAATTGCTGAAATCTTAAATAAATTACATAATATATAACGTGATGAAAATGTGGAAAAATTACATGATAATTCATCTTATCAGTACAAAAAAAATATCTAGTTATAAAATCATTTATAGTAAATTATAGTAGATTTTGATTTCTGTTTCTAGAAAAAGTAAAACTTTTTTATTTTTAAGATTTCTTTTTAAAAAATAATTTTAAAACAATTATTCATATCTAATAGTATACATATAATGTTCATTATCTATTTAAATATCACCCAAAGGAATAGTAAATGTTTTCGTTAATTTGAATAGCAAATATACTTAATTATATATTAATATAAAACTTATCTAATACAAACAAATTGCTATTATTTTAAACAAAAAAGTCAATTTTTATGATATGATGGTAAAACTTTTGAAAAATCTTATTTAGGTTTGCATTTGTAAAATAGTCTGACTGGACTCTATCTCATTCTAAACAAGAATTTTACGAATTTTCGAACTTGAACATTTATAGTAAATTTGTGGTAAATACCGGTTTAGGCTTCCCAAATAATAAATACCCTAGTATTGTCCATATTACAATGACATTACGAGACAATATATCATTATATATACACACAAGGTGTTTAGTAAGTTAGTAACAAGTCAGTTGTTACAAAAATAAAATCAATAGAAACCCGTTTCCTTATTTACTGAACACTATATAACAAATTTAATGGATACAAAAACTTAATTTTTCGGAAAATAACAATTTTAACATTTATAAAGATGAATCTGGATTATTATATAATTAATTAAAAATTTAAACATGGATTGGTTTTTGCTTTTATTTTATTGATATTCACTATTATCTAAATATTTTAACAAAATTCTTACTTTTAAATACAATATCATATGACATTTTTTATATTTATTGGTTTTATTAGAATTTCAGTCAATATTTTTTTAATGGTATTATCGTAGGACATTTTTTATTTCACATATTTTTTGGTTTTATATGGTTATATCGAATGCAAACAGCTTCTTTTATTGGACTTAAAGTGTATAACAAGCTCCCAAGAGTTACTTCATTCAACCTTTTCAGTATCAATAAAACTGATACCTTCAATTTTAAATTGATTTACGAGTTTTAGCCTCGGGGAAAATGTATTATTTTCACTGCCTACAATTGGATTTATATATACGTTCGCACAACACCATGTATAGGTAAACCTCATTTCGTTTCACTACTTATTCAGGTAATTATAAATTTGATTTAAACTTAAAGCGTATAGATTTTTCTAATTCGTAAGTTCATTTAATGGATAATCTTAATTGCTATAAAACAAGTTTTGCTGAAGGTAAGGATTAAAAGAACTATTATGGTATCATAAAATCATGATTGAAGACATAATTTAGTATGAAAGTGAGTAAATATTTTGTGATTTTTTTTTAAATGCCAATAACATACTTAAAATATGACTTGGGTTGTATAATTTTACAAAATATTTAAATAATTAATAAAATCAATTTATTATTTTATTATAAATTAGCATGTATATTATAAAAAAATTACTGTTAAATTTACACAATATACTTTATATGAATGTTCAATTTGTTATCTGCTCTCGCTTTGGAAGTAAATGCTGTGTAATTTGAATGGAAATGATATATTCAAAGCTATTGAGGGAGAATTTGAATGCTTTATATGATGATTGCCTTGTTAATATTAATAGTTTAGTTCTTTTATTCTTGTCACGGACTGTTATATGTTGCAAACAAAACTATACTAAAATGAATGATTCATGTATTTTTTGCATGATTTTGATGTAGTGCTCTTAAATTAAGGTGATCTGTGAATCATAATCTACTCAATAGTTGTAAAATAATGATTTTTAAAAAATTTTCAGTTATTTGGTTAGTTGCATACAATTTTTGCTTTTTCCACTATTTTTTAGTTAACTATAATATATTTTTTATTTTTTGGTTCATGCCATCATATAATAATCGGAGAGTTTTATAAAAAAACTTAAATACAATAAAATAAAACATAGTTCTACTAATTTATCAAATAAAAAATATGTTTAATGAAAGTTGATACCTCTATAACGCATAAGTGATCAAGCTTACTTAAAAGTGAATAAATTAAAATTATATGTAACTGAAAAATACAAAAAAAATGTTCAAAATTAATATTTTACGAATAATTGAATAGTTTATGATTCACGGATCTCTCTATATAATACATAGACGGTATTCAAAAATCAATATTCTTACATATTTTTATTGTTTTAAAGTTTTGATGGGACATTATATCAAATAAAAATGTTTTATTATAATAAAAAAAATAAAGTTATAATTCGATTATAGCTCATTTATATATACAATTTTTTTAGCAAACTTTAAATAAGAATTTAATATTGAGTTAAATATAGTCCAAAGAATTTTACAATTAAATTGTATTTTGGTATAATTTATAATGTATTCTTGTATAAAATATGTCATACGGGTGTAGAAAATTTAGTTTAAACATACATTTTATTTGATACTTTTTTATCGCTTTATGTAACTTAGTAAGTCTGACAAGTTTTTATGTTGTGCTGTATTTTTTAGGGCGCTGGAGAATCAGTCGCTTCCCTTAGAGTTGTTACATGGCATAAGTTGACTATGCGATCAAAGACTCAACGTAAATCTAATATTGAAGATACCACAATACTTTTCACACCTTGTCTTAATGGAAACAATAACGCAATTCCAATCGAAAATATAACAAATATTACCATATTGTGTAATGAAAATGAATCTAAAATAATGGGAAATTAAATAAAGAGAATAAGAATTGCCCAGATTTATTTTATTAAATAACTCATTATAAAATATATTTCAGCTACAAATACACTCGTTTTGACTATAATTAATTTTTTCACTTAAAATTAAAAACAATTTAAATTTTTACTAACAAATAAGTTAAAAAAAGTTCAGTACATTATTTTAAGTTTAATGTTAATAAAATTGTGAGCCATATAAAATGTTGAACTATTTTTTCTTCATTATAACTTTAATTTTTTCGTATTGAAAATATGTAATATTTGTTTATATTGTAATATAAGTGAAAGTAAATTTGTACAAAATACGTTTAGTTAATTATAATATAGTAGTATAATAATGGTTAATTTTTTAAATTAGAAATTTAGAAATAGAAATTTTATTAATGGTAATACAATTTCATATATTATAACATATTAATCTTTTTAAAAAACTATTGTAATTTAGAAATAATTTAAATAATCTATAATTCTTTAAAAATTTTATGTTCTTAATATTTTAATTGATTTTTTTTTTAATTAATACAATTTTTTTTTTAAACACGTACAGATAAATTATAAAAAATATTTTCTAAATACAGTTTATCTATAGAATTACGGGAAAACAGAATTCAAAATTTTGAATTTCTGTAGTGTATATTTTATGTAAATAATATATGTGTAGACTTTCCTTTATTATTTTTATTTTTATAAAAAAATACACTAAGAATTGTAAATTATCTAAGTAAAAAAATAATAATCAATTATCTTTATCAAAATCATCCTAACTCTTAGAAAATTTGTAAATACATTTATGATAAATAATTATAAAATAGTGAAAAAAATTAACTTCCTTCTTTCCTTTAATTAAAGTTTTATTTTTAAAACTTTACTATAAATTTTTTTATGAAATATAATAATATTAAATACTTATTATTATAATTTACTTTTTCGTTAAATTTCCTAGTTATTAAAGTTCCTACCTACGGTTTCAATCTAAATAAACATCAAGTGTTCAAATATTTAGGAACTTAAAATTACCTTAGTTACTATTAATTACACTTACAATAAATTTAATGAGTAAATATCCTTAATGTGAATTTATATAATTTGTATGATTTAACACATGAACCTTTGTACTTAAATAAAATGTTAAATGAAGATTATTAATAGTTAAAAAATATAAAAATATATTACAGTTATATGCATTTACTATTTTTTTTTTTTTGGCAAAATTCTTTATTTTCATTGAAGTATAACACTCAATTTTTAATGTAATATTATGTTATTGAGAATGATTTATAAAATTTCGTATCGTTTTAATGATTAAAATTAAAATTAAAAAAAAAGAAAGAAAGTAGGATAAATTGAGATAACTGTGTCTATAACTAGTTGTATTCAAATATCATTTTTTATTAATGGAATTAACAAATATAACTAAGTTTCATATGTATTGTTGTAACTAAAAAAAAAGAAATATATATATATATAAATATTAAAACATTATATTATATATTTATATGGATGTGTTGTTTGAATAGATATTAAAATAATTGAGACTCTTATAATTTTGAGCATAGTTCCTAATTTTTTTTGAGCAACTTTTAAAATTAATATATTCATTAAACATTCGTTTTTCATTTTGTTTAATTACAAACGGACTTTTAGCTATTTCTCCTGTAATCATAAACTCTACCATTTCATACTTATGAATATTTCTTTTTAACTCATTTAAGTTACAATTGTCAAGAATACTAATATATCTAGCAATACTTGGTTTTAAACCTTTAATAACATTTCTCACTAACTCTTCCTCTGA